ACACACAAACACGAACACATGCTGAATTGAGTGCTGTGCCTGCCTATGATGCGGAGATTGTGAATAAAAAAAATTCATATTAGTCAAATTTAAAATAAACATTTGTATTTGAATGTTAGGAGTGCGTCAGGGAGCGTCATCAGTGGTGCACGAGATGCGGTGATGATGATGAAAGTGACGTTGTTGCATTTGAATGTTTTGTTAGTCTAGCCCACGAGATTGCCACTGCTGTGTCATGCATTCAAAATATTAGAGAAATATAATAGAAGCCCAATGCGGAGAAGATCTTGAATGGGTTAAAACCGAAACCAAGCCATTCACACAGAACGCATATTCAGCAAATTTTTAGACGGGCAAATATGACTGCTGCACTCGCGTCTCACACAAGAGATGTAGCCATGAAAAGTTAAAACAGTTTAAACTTTTAGAAAACACGTCGCGAATTTGTGGAGGTTTATTCCTTTTCCTGCAGTCTGTGTGATGGGCGATTCGGCTCTTTGGATTAAGCAATGCATAAATATATAACGCAGTTTTGTTCATAATTGTTTATGCAATTTACAAAATTATATTTGATTTATATGAGTTCATTTAGACGTAATGCAGGTTTTTTTTATAGACATTTATTTCCTTGCATTGACAATTTAAATGTGCTGCATTGTTTTGCTCATTGCGCCCTCCTGTGGCCTCGTGAGACAAGCCAAAAGTTTCCTTAAGACCTATTTAACTTGCATATAAAACATTCGAAATTAGATATTTGTTGAATTTTTATTGTGTTTGATTGTAAAAAAAAATAAAAATTGTTGTTTGTCTCAATAAATTGGGTTAATTAAAAAATACAGTGGTTAAATTAAAAAAAAAAAATTCTGTTGCTCTTTGTTTTAAAAAAGGTTATAAAAAAAATTAAATAATTATCGATACCGAACAATATGAAACATTATATCGTTGATATATTTTTAGCTATATCGCCTAGCCCTAATATATATATATATATATATATATATATATATATATATATATATATATATATATATATATATATATATATATATATATATATAATTAGCTCCGCATTAAGCTATGAAGGCTGCTTCCTTAATGAAATAAATGAAAAAGTTAACAGAAACAGCCAAGTAAAATTTGTAATTCATAAAATGTTTCTATTAATAGTGGACCTGTTCATGCATTGCTCAGGATTCTTAGTTGTTGTTGAGTGATGAGTGATGGTTGTAGCCTGCAGAAACGTCTCCAGAGCTCTGCATCAGACAATTTCTGAGAGCATGTTACTAACCACCTGTCCTACACAAAGTTTCCTCTCACCCTTTGAAGCCTCTCACCCTTTGAGTTGAAGCCGCACTGCTGTTCAGATCCAGCATGACTAGAAAAACTAAAATACTTCTGCTAACAGACAATCAGAAATAGAATGAACAAAGTGCTTTATTCAATTTGGTTATCCTGTCTAATTTAAATGATGCGTCTTAAATTTGGCTGCTGTCAATTGTGATAAAGCGAGCACCACATGCATTTAGTTTTCTTTTGTGGTGCACAAACGTTATCAACATTTGGGAACAATGTGTCTCATGTTGAGTACATTCATACTGCCTTAGCACATTTTATAGTCTGCCTTGTGGTTTCGCAAAAACAAACAACAAAATTACTCAAATTTTAAATTTAAAGTAAAAACAGAAAACATTTTTTTTAACAAAAACTATAATAGTAGGCTATACTAACTATAATAGTAACATTATCATTAACTAAATCCATAAAAAAGTTCAGTACTTGAAATATTAAAAATGTATTGAAATAAAATATATATAAAAATAATATAACAAATATTTTATTTTTTTAACTTGAAGTACTAAAATATCAAACTAATAAATAAAAATATATACAGTGTGTGTGTGTGTATATATATACACACACACACACATACATATACTGCATATATATATATATATATATTTAATGTATGTATACAGTATATACATAAACTATACAAACATTAAAAATGACAAAAACATACAACAAAATTACTAAAGCTTTAACTAAATTTAAAGTAAAAACAAAACAAAAATCTAATTCAAAATACTGACAAGAACTATAAGAGTGTATCTAAAATAACAACTTCATTTCCTGGCATACTAGTGCACTCTGACTCCCGGAAATAGCATAAAGCCAGTCAATCAGACTAAAAAACTGCCAATTTTCAGCCATCTCTGGCCTTTTTGTGTATAATATGCATGAAATGGTCAGTAAATGATATCTGAAGTTGAGACTAAATTTTGTGTGCTGTTTGCAAATAAAGCAGAGAACATCACATTCTTTGCAACCCAGCATTCATTTTTTGAATAGGAAATAAATGCATGCACACATCTCCACACCCAATCCTGAAGCTTTTGAGCAAGCGGAGGAGGATAGCATTTAAACTCAACACTCAGTCTACACCCTATTTTTCATTTGCGAAGGCGACCACTGGCTATCCATAGAGCATGCGAGGTTGCGTGAAGCCGCTTCAGTGACAATACTGCTGAATACATGACTCAGAACTACAAAGTGCACGGCTATTGATTATTCACTGCAGATGGAAAGTGTAAAACAAGAGCCAAGGTCCGTAGGAAGCAAATACACACAATAACCAGAGGGCCGACTCAGAGGAATACTTGCACTTTAGCGACCTATAACAGGGTAAATGTTATCCAGGACATGTGGGCATCAGCATATTTGGTTTTTGGGACATGAGCCCCACAGCAAACTGCAAGCCTGAGGCTTGGTCCTGAATGCAGGGAGTTGGCTTGGCTTGGCCTCAGCCTGGTACCCATGAGAGCGTCAACACTAGGGGGTGTTTATTGGTCTTCAGAGGACTTATGCTGGGGAAATGCCAATGGAAAAGTGAAGTCTCCGCAGAGAGCAAGGAAATGTTGTCTAGCGATGAACAGCAGTTCTCCACGGCCTTCCACTCGTCCTTGAAAAGGACCTTACTGATTTTACAAGACATGTTTTGTAAGTAATTTTGTCTGTTATATTCTGGTTATTTAGTGTAATGCAGACCATTTTTGAGACCTGGCAAGAAAAAAATCAGGACACAGAAACAATATAAGATAGAAAGGAATAAAGAAAGTGAAAAAAAAAACTTCTAAGAAAAAAGGAAAGGGAATGTATAATAAAAGAACAGAGTTGGAAAGAAGAGAAAAAAATACTTAAAGGGTTAGTTCACTCAAAAATGAAAAGTCTGTCATTAATTACTCACCCTCATGTCGTTCCAAACCTATAAGACTTTTGTTAATTTTCGGAACACAATTTGAGATATTTCTGATGAAATCCAAGAGCTTTCTGCATAGACAGCAACACAACTACCCGATCAAGACCCAGAAAGAAAGAAAGGACATCGTTCACGAGAGTACCACGTGTGATGCTGCTGACGCAGGAGCCGGCGTTCTGACGGAGAACACGCATGCACTGTGCCTTGTTTACAAGCATTCTCAGATTTCATCACAAATATCTTCATTTGTGTCCCGAAGATGAATTAAGGTCTTACTGGTTTGGAACGACACGAGAGAGTAATGAATGACAGAATTTTCATTTTTGGGTGAACCCTTTTTAAATAAGAGTAAGAAAAATAATGTGAAGAAAGAAAATAGAAATTAGGTAACAAGGAGTCTGACAATTTAGATGAAGGAAGAATAAAGGAAACAACACAAAGAGGAAAGAAGTCAGAAAGCAAGGACAGAAAGAATAAAGGTAAATAAGTGAAAGAAATATAAAAATCAAAAAGGAGGTTTGAAAGAAATAAAGAAATCAGATAAGCAAGAGAACAAAAACAAAGAGTCTAATATATGAGTGATAGAGACGTGAAAACCACTCGTTTAAGACATGGCCTATGAGCGTGCTCTCTTGATCATGGTTTTCTGGTCAGTCTTTAGAGAATATATATGTCAGTATTGAACCAAAATGCGTTTTTTTTACACTTTTCAAATGTCAAAGCAGCAGTTTCAGAATAGATTATTGTATAGCTGTCATACTGTTCAGTTTGTCTTGTCTTTTTGTACAACAGATTGAATGTCTGTTTTATTTTATTTCTGGGATCCATTGCTATGCTCAGTTTGAAAAGGCCTTTATATCTAAACATAATACACAAATATTAATTTGTTTGCAAATGTTTAACCCGAATATGTACTCTTAAATTGTAATTACTTATTTTTGTCATATTGTACTCCTGTTTCTAGGACTATGATGAAGAAGAGATGTCAGTCGGCCTATTGA